CATGCCCACAATCATTGATGAACTTTAGACTTAGGCTAATGCTTTCGTTTCCCTGGGTGTAAATAGCCAGGGGGAATTATTACCCTCGCACAGTGCCTTGCGCCGTCGGCTCAGGGATTAAAATAATTTTTATCGTAGATATGAGTAACTGTGATAACATTTGAGTCTTCAGTAAATGTTTGAAAACCTTGCTTTTTATTATAACGTTTAACTTTCTATAGCCTAAGACCACATATTTTATCATTCTATAGCCTCGGACCACATATTTTATCATTCACTGAAAAGCCCCAATTCGGGGAGTGTTCAATAAATTATTGTATTGTATTATACTCTAGATATGCTCACTAGTCTATTTCAGCATCAGTTATTATGTTTTATAATATAAGTGCGATATAACAGACAATTTGATTGACTAATGCATGTTACGCTCTCAGTTCTTGAATTTTCCCGCTGTTTCCCCGCTTGTGGCAAAAGTAAACAAATTTAGTTTTTGAAATACAAAATTTAGCAGAAAAAAACAACAAAATAGGTTATAAACTAAAATGCATGAGCCAGCCAGCGAAAGCAAACACACTGAAGAAGGTGAAGAAGTCATTCAAAGGTGACAAAAACTGCCACGAACTGGGCTGTTTCTACATTTATATCTCATTTGTGTCGGTTTTGTTTGATCGTCCGAGGTTTATAACTAGCTAATATACCTCGAATAAATAATTACATTGAACTTTTCGACAAAACGTGAGAATTTTTCATAAAAATTTTTTGAAAATGACAAAATATGTTAGAAAACCTCCACAAATGAGATACAAGTTAGTTATAAACCTCGAAAGTCGGTTTATAACTCTAACTTAAAGGTACGTAAATTTTATACTTGTGCGTTCAAATACTTGCGATACAGAGAAAGCTATATTAACGAACTAAATTTGTAGTTAATATATAAGTAAAAATCATCAGCTTCACTTTGGCATTTGTCATTTTATAATAGTGATTGAAGTTTTACAAAGTCAACAATATAATACAAAGCTACACGAAATATGTCATTTTTTATGAATTTCATGACTAAAAAAAAACAGCAACATAATTGTTTGAAACAGTACCTTTCAATTAAAAATGCCTAATATTTTTAGATTGGTGCTACACAAAAAACATAATACCTGAACTGAAACAAATGACAACAAGACAGCTTCTATGCTGAAGCCAGGACGAAAGACAAGCGAGACTACAGCAAGTCAGCATTGAACACATTCAGACATGGTATTGAAAGATATCTAAATAATCCACCACTGAACAGAGAGATTATAGAATTGCCTCTAACTCCTTGTTTACCCAGTCCAACCAGATGCTCTCGTGCAAGCAGCATTTTCGACCCCATCAATCCTTTGTCACTTCATCATAGTGTGTGGTTTCACATTCTCATGTATCGGTGTAGACGGAGTCGAGAAGGACAACGTAATCGCACTGTGAACAAGTTTCACATTTGAACTTGATAGCTCTTGTCAACGCTATGTGAGGATGATGTGATGTCCTTGATTAATTGACATGTCCAGCATGGAGAAAGAAGCAAGAATGTTCAAAACTGATCAGCTAGTTGATGGGTATAAAGCTTTGGCTCTTTATCTTGAGAAAGTCAACCCAAACTGTCTTGCTCTTTTCCAGTATCCTGCACGAAAACAAAAATGGCAATCAACAAACCCGGTTTGGTTCAAAAATCGACCACTCAGAGTCAACAAATTGGGCAAAATGATGACTGAAAGTAGCCGAGCTGCCGGTCTGTCAAAGAATTACACAAATAATAGTGTCACTGTCTTAAAGTTCTCTCAAACCCCTTTTATTATTATTATTAAAGTCTTTATTGTCTAGAGTCACAACAGACGTGCAACTTTACAAATGTGAAATTCCTATTTATTACAGTTAAAAAATTGATCTATCCTAATTAATTATATGAAAGTTAAAAATAGTTAAAAAGACATCTATTTATGAAGGATCGTTTAAATTGTTCCATTTTAATTTGAGGTAAAATAAAGTTATGTTCCCTTTATCTAAAAATCCTTTGTTTACACGCAATTCATGTAGGGCATATTCTGGATTCGATACGATTTTACTCTCCTCGATCACTTCAGATATCTTTATACTCTTTGTCGTATATCCATAACGATAAGCCCGCCGGAAAAACTTGTCTATACGATCCAAATATTTTTTTGGAGTTCAGAGCCCCACACTTCAATGCAATAGTAAAAGAGTGACATGATTAGCGATTCAAATAATTTGCTTCAAATAATTTGCTTAGCTAATCTGCAGAGTAACCATAGCATCTACACACTCTCAATATGTACATACGCCCACTAGCCTTTGACAGAAGATCATCGATATGAAGATCCCAGCAACATAGATTTTCCTGAAATGTGACACCTAATAATTTCAACCAACTCTTTCGTTCAAAGCCTACAATCGGTGCTGGTAACGGTTTCATAGACCCACCGTGCACAACCATTTCCCACGTTTTAGAAAGATTTAATGTCATTTGATTTGCTTCTGACCAATTCTGAATGCTTTCCACCTCAGCCTCAGCAGAATCCGATCCTGATTTTACTGGAGCACTTGTCGTTATGTCGTCAGCAAATTTAACCAATAGGTTGTTTTGCACATCCATGGGTTTTATATCATTAACCATCAACGAAAATAGAAAGGGACCCAAAACCGTACCCTGCGGTATGCCTTTGTTAATATCAACATAAACTGTTTCTATGCCATCAACAACACTCTTTGTTTTCTGTTGGCCAGAAAACTAATAATCCAGTTTATAGTATACGGGTTAATTTCGAGTGTTTTCAATTTTTCACAAATAATGTTATGAGATACCGAGTCAAACGCTTTCTTATAGTCAAATGATATTACCCTAACAGAGTCTGCATCTTCATCCAGCCACTTGAGCCAATGATGCAAACACATAATCAGAGCATCGGTAGTATTTGTTCCCTCTTTATAAGCAAATTGATCTCGTCAGATCACAGATTTGAATGCAGACGCAATCTCCTGTTTATAAACTACCCTTTCAAATAATCTCATAATGATGTTTGTGAGCGATATAGGCCTCAACTGATTACACTCTGTTAAAGGAGATTCTTTGGGTAAAGGGTTCACATTGGCGAGCTTCCACATCAGAGGGACACATTGTTGTTCGATTGATAGATTGAACACTTTGGTAATTATGGGTGCTAAAAGTTGTGCAAAGTCTTTCCATAACCAATATGGAAGCCCATCAGGACCTGGCGCTGTTCGTTTTAGTTTCGACAAAAAACTTATAACAGTAGGCTCATCAATGGTAGGAACTCGAGTGCCTACAGGAATTGGTACGAGTTGGGGGGATATGTAATTTGCATCCGTGTTTACATTTTGAAAGCACGAGTTAATATGTTGTGGATCGATGACTGAGCTAATATTGCTGTTCTTGCTTTTTCTGCCAGTAATTCTATTCACACTATCCCACCACTTTTTGGATCCCAAACTATTTTTTCTATTCTCATCATCAACGGAATGAACAAGATTTCCACGAATTAGCTCATCAATACGTTTTTGAAGATCATTGTCGACTCCCTTCGCTATATTCTTATTCCTTATCTTACATAAGTGTTTGACCAAAGGAGACATATATGGTGGGTCACGTGTTGACATTTTTACTTGAATTAATGGGAAACAGTCATTAAATATGTTAGTGATAGTGTCATTTAATAGAGTAACTGTATCATTGACATTATTGCAATTATGAATGCGACTCCAATCACATGTCTCCAATTTCCTCATCATACTGAACTTCCGATGAGCTCTTACGTCTCTAAAGTAGACATCCTTTCTTTCGGGTTTTATAGCATGTCGCGGAGAAACCATGACAACCAAATGGTCAGATCTTACTAGACCTTTAAAAACCTTTGATTTTTCCCAAAGATGTGGACAGTTGGTTAAAAATACATCCAAAATTTTATGATTTTGGGTAGGCTTCTTGACTAATTGTTCCAAGTTGTGCTGACTGATAAGGTATTTTGTTTTTAAGTGATTAATGTCTCCTGCTATAATTATTCTTGCATTGGGATCAGGATAAAGAATCTGTTCTATAGTTTCAGACAAATGATTTAGTAACTCAGTCTCAGGATAAATGGGGTCAGGTGGGTGATATACTGAAGCTATGTAGCATTTAGTATTAAGTGTTACAATTTCACACCAAACACACTCAGGTTGTTGTCAAAATCAAGATTTTTAACTTTCCAGGCGTCTCTACACAGTTGTGCTCTAAAAATGTGGATGCTAATACAATCCCATTATAAATACCATTGGATGACAGTTAGAAAAATACATTTTGAAAACCTGCCTGTTAGCATCTCCACCATCACATAAAGCAAAGTAGATTCTAGACAAAAGTAGATTTAATTAACTAAACATTCAAATTAATGTAAATGGCACTTCTGACTATGAACAAATTAAAGTTCCTATCTAAATCGTGTTCTTCTCATCTGTATACGCCTTCCCAAAACTTCAGGTATAACACTGCATGATGCTGGACATTGCGCTGTTGGAAAATGAGCGATTGGGAATCGAAACCCTCCATCACTGAGAAACACAAACTGCAATACATTTGTTGGTATCAAAACTTTTGAATCGTTTCCTAAAAGAAAAATGGTATCATATTTGGATACTGAATATATTCAAAGCATAGGATCACATTGATTTATGTGACTCGAAGTAATTTAAAGATCTTCCTAATATATAAAAAATTGTTTTTATTTTTAATCCCTTACACTTAATATCATTTGTAATTTGAGAATATTAAACATTGATAATTTTCTTATCAATATATTAAAATGCATGGCATGTACGGTACCTGAATTTAGATTTCATCCAAAATAAGTCCACCCCAATAATCTTCTGGTCTAAGATTTTCTAGACTAACAGAGGTTTATCTACAAAATAAAGTATTTATCTCAGCATATATTTTTTGAATTGAAATGCATAATCACAGGTTACACAAACCTTATCAAACGATTGCTTGGAAGAACAAAGAAACTCCCGCATTGCACCCAACGCTTTAGGATTCTTAAAATAAACATCCAGAGTGAATCGTATGATCCTAGCAAATTATAAACAAAAAATATTATGTTAGCAAGTTTATAGGAACATTTTTTTCATACAATTAAATTCTTACCAAATAAGTGCCACCATTTTAAATTACCAAAGTGTTCAATCTATCAATCGAACAACAATGTGTCCCTCTGATGTTGAAGCTCGCCAATGTGAACCCTTTACCCAATCATTCAAATGAATAGCAATCAGCACCTGGGGTCCCATCTGTAACCACTTGAGAATTTCATTGACAACTGCTTCATTTGTTGTTCCCAAAGCAGTTTAAGGTTGGGTGGAATATCTGCTATATTAGTGGATTTCACAATTTCCATTAAGATCCAAGTTATCTTCCTCTATCAACTTAATCAATTATGTTTCATTTTGAGATTCCTTCTTCCAATTTTTCTTTGAAGACATTCTTGATCCAGGAATCGTAAGTTACTTTTTTTGCTTGGAAAGTAGTTGGATGATGCCAAATTTCATTCATTGGATATTTTTTTATTTAAATATTTTCCAGCTAGGCTCATTGGATCTATTTCAATAGAGCTTTGTGATATACAAACAATTGTTACATGATTTCCTACGAAATCAAAATAACAAGCAGGATGTGGAAACTAATCTCTCAATTCTGATCTAATGGTCACAGCATTTGATCCAGAAACTTCCAATTTTAGGTACTCACTTTCATCATCGGACAGATGGCATGTCTTATGCATGGCAATGCATTTTCAAGAAGACAAATTGCCTTGTCTATTGATCATAGAGTAATTTCAGTGGTGTTTAGTCCTTTGATTTTGCTTAGGGATACTTCTTCACCACATGTGATTGTGGGTGTCATATCTATTTTCAGTTTCAATGTAAGATGGTGCCCATCAATCAACAGTGACAGCTCGACTACAATCAGGATTTAGAAGGTGTGTATATGTAACTGATTTCATAGGGAGGAATTGAGAATCCAACCAGGTCAACCACCACAGAGTAAACAGATATTTTCAATAGGAAGTAAGGTATCATATTACTGATTATGCTGAAACAACCAAAATATTTCAATATTTACATGTATAAGCTTATCACTCCATGTTTCATGACCACCAATTTTATTTTTGCAGCATAATCAGCAATATGATACTTTACTTCCCATCATCCCCTGCATGCATAAACTAAAAGCTGGAATTGCCCATTGTTGTACCATTTAATTTGTGAATTGTGGTATCATTTCTATGCATATTCCGTTACTTGTATGCTTCTTTAAGTTCAAAAACCTGGAACCATGATCCCTTTGGGGTTTTTTGTACTTTTCCTTCCCAAACATCTTGAATTAGTATTCCCGTCAAATTTACTCTTTCCTCAAAAGTGGCATCCAATATAACATTTATAGGCACAAACTCATTTATGCAATACTCGTAGTTCGAAATCATCCTGAAAAAAGGTATATGGAAGTTACTTATTAAATTAGTTATACAGCACTTATAAAGGGGTATGCAAATAGTACATAAATCTGTGTCCATGAAACATTGATGTGCAAGTAATCAAGTTAGAGTTGGTATGCAACTCCAACAAAATATCTTCATATTAGGTAGATACTCAGTCAAGTAGTCATCAAAATGGGGCAGATTCGCCAAAAGGGGAGGGGGAGTTAGGGTCGGGGTAAAAATGTTCTTGCAGATGAGAGCAACATGCTAATCTTGGTTTTTTGTTTTATAATAATTAATAGAAAAATGACGGGAAACATTTTTGGCTTTTGTGTTTGTGGCATTCCAAGAGAATTAGACAATGACATATAATTCATATTTTCTGGAAGTACAAAAATATTGAACTGAGCATTCCTTTTTAACTGTTTGGAAGCACGCTTTCATGCTTTTCACAGTTGTTCAACTTTTGCATATGACGTTTTCCATCAACGCTTTTCCCGATTGTCATTTCTGTTAAAAATGTCCCCAAACACTCTTGTCTCTGGCACAATCTCTATTGCCATCTTCCTCATCTCCAATGCTTTCACCTGGTCTTTGTTGTCTTCACATTCTTCTTCAGCTCTCTGGTTTGTGTCATCTTTGATTCCAGTCAAGTCTTTGCTTTCCACACTCCGTCCACCAGTTGACTGCTCTTGTTTATCCATTTTAGTTTTACTCTTCTTTGCCAGGAGTTTAAATCGATCTTGTACAGACCTTGTGTTGACCTAAAAGCTTGGCAGAGCATTCACCTAACTAACAATCCTTTGCCATGATATTCCCCTGCTTCTCAATTTCGATTTGTGATGAAAAACACCTTCAGCTACCATTTCCTGAAGCATAATTTTATCCATATCTTGATTGCATATCATAGCTGGCCTAGTAAGATTTAGAGGTAAATGTGTAATATTACTGTAGTAAAGTAGATTAAGTACTTGATAAAACATGAGCAGCCATGTAGTATCAGATATACAAACTTGAGCCGAAGATCCGATACAACATGGACGTGAACGTTTTATCGTACTTAAAAAACGACCCATCTTATGAGTTCATTGGCCAAGTAATTTTAAAAATGAAGTTTATGTAAATCAGGAGAAATCTTTATCTGATTTACAAACATTGATTAAAGATTAATTTCTTTTGAATTTTCTTCATGAATTATTACTGTAATGAGTTTTTAAAGTACTATTTAATATATGAGTAGGAGTGTTTTATCACATATAAAACACAAAGCAGAGTGTTTTATATGTGATAAAACACGACCTACAAGTTTATTTTAGACATCACCACATTGACGAAATAATTTTCAAAAATAACCTCATCAGCCAAGAAAAAAGTTTTTTTGTTATATGCCCTAATCCATGTTTTATCCCCTTATCTGTGTTTTATCCTGTCACCCATGTTTTATCCTCTCACCCGTGTTTTATCCTGTCATCCATGTTTTATCCTCTCACCCATGTTTTATCCCCTCCTCTGTTTTTTGTCTTCTCATCCATGTTTTATCCCTGCACCTGTGTCCGATCTGTGCGGTGCCATCCTCTCCCCATACATCAGTGAGCTTGGGAAATGCAATGCGCATGCAACGGCTATGTGAAAACGTGCACGGTTGGACTGGATCGAGTTAAAATCCACGTTGACAGGCCGTTTGGTGTTCCGTTCACAACGCCTCTTGCACCGTTTTGCCCTAGTGGCGAATATGTCAAAGAAAAATAGCTACAGATATGTAAGTTTAGTATATTTTTCTTGCTCGATTCAATGATAGTAAAAATAAGTAAGCCAAAACGGCAAATGACACAAATATATTCCCCTAATGAAATGGACACAAGCAATATATTTCCATTTCTTGCCCGACTGTGAGCTGGAAGTGAGTTAATCCCAACCGGAAATACGACTGAAAACCGACAAAACAATGCAAAGCTTGTATCGTAGGCCAGAAATGGATTCGCAAGGTCAAATTGCACCTACACGCATGAGTTTGACGTCATCCCGGCTACAGGAGCTTCTTATTGGCCAATTATTGCACAATGTACGCAAGTGCGAGTAAAACCCGACATCTTGAAAAATTCAAAATAAATATTTCTACTCGCCGTATTCAAACAAAATTTTGTACATGAAAATGCTTGAATACAAAGAGTGTTTTACACATATAGCCGTTCAGCAAATGACGAAATGTTCAAGAGATATTCAAGATCTTGTGTATGTGAAATTTAGAATCTTTGGTCAAGCGGTGAGTAAATATATGATTGTTTCGGTTTGTGTAATGTTCAGACGGCACTTGACCCTCCGTTTGAAAGGTTATTTTGTGAGGATTACAATGGTGGTATTTATTTATAAGGGGGGTAAATGCTCGCCGAGATATTTACATTAGAAAAATTGTGTCGTAATATGATGCGAAAGGGGGTGGTCGAAAAAGAGTTAAAATAGTGTGGTGTGAATAGATAGACTACCAGAAAAATACAAAAAACTTAGACGCTTTGAGCAAAGTTTTCTTTGTATTTTTCATGCTAGTAGTCTATCTATTCACACCATGCTTTCATGCTTACAGTTTAAACAATGTTTTGAACAAATAAATTCAAACTGTAAAGTTCAAACAAGCACTTTAAATCACTATTAAAGTTAAAGATAATGTCCACTCCTGTGTGTGCGCATGTGCAAACTTTGTTTACGTTTTGAACTGCTATATTTGTAAAATATGATATACTAACTGAATATCTAACACTTTTCTGCTTAGCTATGCTTGTAAATGAACATAAATTCTACGTTTCAATTAAAAAAAGTTTGAAAAATGCAGAATTTGGGCAATGTTTATATGTGCAGGTCCCTGTTCTCGAAAAATTCATGCATATCGCCTAATGTTATTGAATTTATGGCATTGTACACAAATTCTATTAGATTTGTATTTTTTAAATCCCACAGCCTGTATTTCATCAAGGTCTTCATTTTACTTGAACACATACTCTGCAGGATTAAAATCTGGGCTGTAGCATGGCATGTATATCATTTCTATGCAGTGGCATAACCAGCCCGACAATTTTGTCCCGCTATGCAAATTCAAAATTATTATCATTATTCATTTCTTTAGAAATTGATTGTTTTCACAGTCAATGAACACGAAAATATTTGCATAGCGGGACTAAATCGTTGGGCTGGCTACGCTATTGTTTCTATGTTAACTTCATTAAGAAAATCCTCCAAGATCTCCCCATTTTCATTGTGATGAAATGGACAATTGTCCATAATTATAACATTACCAGGTTTCTTCCAAGCATGGTCGTCCTGTATTTGGATCAACCAAATGAAATGCATCTTCAAAGAATCTTAGAAATTCGAGGGTATTTGATGGTCCATTAGCCGTGTTAGCATATATAACACCTGTTAAACCACACATAAGGTTAAGAGTCACATTTGCTGTTTGGCAGTATCTATGAAATTTCGACTGCTCTCTCTCTCCAACCATTGTGTGACTATAACTTCTTGATCCATTGTTTGGAAGCTTGAAAATTGGTAGCTTGAAATTTGGTAAGAGTATCAAGCCTATGTTATATTTCTGGATTATTAATATATATTAAAATTTAATGATAGTGCCACTTTAAATCTTATTAGCCCTCTTTGCAACTGACCCTTTAATTAATTTAAATTATACAGGATTTGCATCAACAACCCTTCCTTCTCTTTGTAGTATTGACGCTGGATTTATGGAATTAGTCATCTCCTGTGGCACATTTAATCCAGAGAATCATGAGCTTTGAGTATAGTTTGAACTTGCTCAGCACATTCATCCATGAAAAACATGACATTTTGGCAGCTTTTCTCCCGAGTGAAGCTACCAAGGGCCTAGATTACTTTCTGCGAATAATCTACCGGCCATTCAACACAGTTGTTATTCAAAATATCTTGATTTAAGACCTTGTCAAAACTGACCCCAAAGGACCCAATAGTGGATTGCAATTTTGTGAGATGTGTCATATCTCTTTCACACTTTTTTATTAAAATTTTGGTCCCAGGCAACCATTTCTTGTATAATATTGTTTAACAGGACATCCATTACCCTTTATATTAACTCATTAATGCGCCCTGACATTGGCAAGTGGGTAACAGGCAATGTTCCCGAATGCACCCTAAAATGACACCTTAACTTGCGGGCATGATATTTGAGCACGTGTTTATCAGGTTGCCTAGCAACGGATACAAAAATAGAATGTGAAATTCAAGCTTTTCGACAGTGTATCATGCAAGAAAATCGGTCAGAAACTCGTGAAGTTTTTCAAGTTTAAAACCTTAGTTTTTCAAAAATAATGAACAATGGCAATCCTGCTACAAAGAAGGATTTTACAGCAAGTTTTAAAAGCGAAAAAAGAGGAGGTTTTTTAATCATCTAGAACGAAAATTTGGCATGAAATTAAAGTGAATGTATTGACGTTTTGGGGTCAAGTTCTTCTCTGAACCATGCGCAAGATTCTCAGCCAAAAAGATGGGGATTTCTCCAAACTTTATTAAAAATAGAAGTCAGAAATCACAAGAAAGATGAACACGGAACACAAGTGAGCCGATACGATTTTTTAAAGGGTATTTTTGAGTAGAAATATGTGATCAAACACTCACAAAATTCGACTGCATTAATGTTGGTTGAATCTAATTGTTGGTTGAACCTAGTTTAAAGTTATCTTTTTAGATGCTGTTTATGCAAATTTGGGCACAATTTCGACTGTTTTCGTGACCCCATTGTTGGTCTTCTTGTTCAAGTTGTTATTTTAGCTGAGTTGGTCTTCTTGTTCAAGTTATTATTTTAGCTTACGTGCCCTATTTGGCAAGAATACTTCGAGTATTAAATTACACTAAATAAGTAGGATATTCCAAAATCACTGTTATATCTATTTTCATCAATTTAGTCTTAAAATGACAACTTGTGTCAGACATATTGTGGTTTGAAATAAGTGTATTGAATTAATGCACTTGCTTGCCACGTGCAAATTCTCAAAAAGTCCGCACTTGAGTTCTAAAGCTTTTAAAATGCTTTTTGTATTGGGTTTTATATCCCCATAAAACTTTAAATCGATAAGGCAGATAGTAATGTTAATCCAACCTCATTTTCTAGTAACTACATGTTGAATCAGAAGGAAAAGTTATCAAAATAGGTCGCGACAGTTGTTTGCCGTTGTTGTCGCTTCTCTCTGAAATGGCTTCCTTTGCGGGAAGCCATGAAACTGAAGTTCTAACAAAAACATAATTTAGCCGTCCTTTTGGCCCATTGCTCACTTATTTATCATGAAATCGCTTAACTAGAACATTTTTAATAATGTCTATGGGAAACTTTGTAATTTTCTGAACTAAAAGTTTATGGTTTTGAGGTGTTTATTTTATAAAATAGCACATGCGACAAAATGACACTAATGTGGTTTCTCACGTCTGACAAACAACCACAGATGAAAGTTCTTATTTCACCCTTTTATAGCTATGTGTAACACCCGAATATTAGGTTATCTTTTTCATGTGAGCATATAACATTTCTACACAATAGTCCTTAATATTTCAAACTAAAAAAGCGATTGTTTTTCAGAGCCAGACTTCAAAAGAGAACGCGTGTCTGACATTTTATAGCAGGCCTGCATTGGCGCGCAAAATAATTTTGGCTAAAAACCGTTGTTTTTCCAACAAAAACATGAGAAAATTGAGCTAAAAAGTCTTACCTGATGTATGTTTAAAATGTTTTTCTTTTTATGGTGTTTTTCAGTGCTTTGAGTAGAGAGGTTAATAGCTTTTGGTTTTAGGGCTAGTATTCCAAAGGTCGTAGGTTCGAATCCCACCGTGGCCGGGCATATTTTTCAAGCTCGCCCGGTGTGGATATACACTCAGAGTAACACCACAAATATCATATTCACCTGAGTACACTACACCAACACAGAAAAAAAAAAGCTTTTGGTTTTGTCACCACAATTTGCCTTTGAAAATGTCGGCCGTCATTGTCTGTGTTAAAAACACCTCAGAAAATTCCTATTTTCTCACCTTCCCATCCTTGGTTTATATTGAAAACAAATAGATTCTAGTACCATAATGTCCTTTTAAATATATTTGAAGTAATTAAAAACTTGAAAGATGTACAAGCACTGTGTTTTGGCTTGCACACTTTGTTGAATTTGAACAGTTAGTTGCTGTTCTAAATTTCATGTTGTAAACATCTTATCTTGCCCAAAAAAAGCAAAGGAGTATATTTTATAATTTTTGATCATTTTCTAATTCGTATCCCAATAGATGAAAATTGGTTATAATATAGATATGTACTAATTTAGTAATTTTTTTTTTGGTTTTTATATAAATTTATGGAGATATTGCCCCTTTAGGTGATGAGTGACCTGAAAAACAAAGTGTCACTGCTTTATAAATAAAAATTCTCATTGAAAAAACTAATTATATATATATATAGGTATGCAAGTTCATGATATATATAAAGTTATGCAACTCAATTTGGTCAATCATATATCAATAATATTTGGTTGAAAAGACCAGATTTTTTCATGCAACTGTTTCTGAGATATTGCCATTTTGGTGAAAGCTCTTGAATTCAATCACGTATTCGCCATATTGCTTGGGTGTTGGGAGGTAAAAACATTGTAATAGCTTGCGTGTTAATGAGTTAATAGATGGAGCTCATCCAAAACAACATGATCTAAATCAATCTTAATAAGGGGCTCATTTTCACAAGAGAATTTGTCTGCAGTCTTCTTATTTGCCATTCAATCTTCTTATTTGCCATTCAATTACATCTTCCAGTGTATGTTGGAGTGGATGAGATTCATAATAGTTTAAATGCTTGTCCATTTGCCATCTGTGTTCTTTGTGTAGTGATGGGCGATACCAAGAATATCGATTCGATTAAGACTACTTTTCGGACCAAGTATCGAAGTATCGATACTCATATGATACTCAAATGATTACTTATTGCATAATTCTTCTAATATGTTGGTAATTAGCTACAAATATTTTTATACAATTAAAAACAATTCAATCAGTTTGCTTTGTTTACAGAAGCTGTTTTCTCGAAATAATTCCACACCACACTTTGTAAAGAAGGCTGTAGATCTGCTGTAGCTGCATTTTCAGCAATTTTCAGGCATTTTTTTCAATGTTTTCTTCTTCTATTTTCCCGCCATTTTCGTCTTATACCGCACAAATACATGGGACCATTGAAGTCTTAATTCTGACGAAATGGAGAGAACAGACACAAATATGCAGCTAACACACTTGCAAAATGTGCAGATTTCATTTTAAATATTGCTGAAAAGTATCCCTTATAGTAAATTCAGCGAGTAATCGAAAATATTTCGATACCACTCTGGTATCGATTACTCCCGGTAGTAGCCTGGTATCGAGTGGTATTGATTACTCGGTAATCCCCCATCACTACTTTGTGTATCTTGCACCAAAGGCATGCATAGTGTGAGGTGTGAGGCATCTTGCACCAAAGGCATGCATAGTGTGGTTCTTAGGAGAAATTTATAATCTCCTCCCAGGAAAAATTCAAGGCCAAATTTAGTATTTATTGTAATTTCACTCACCTCAATTAAGTGTTGATTTCTTGAAAAATGGTGCTGAAGGAATCATTTAAAGTTTCATAGTTTTCAGATCCTTTTATGATGGCAAATGTGTGATTACCAAAAGGAAAACATATGAAATTTGAGTTCCTTCTCATTTTTGCTCCATCCCCTGAAATATAAATCTGAATTTTTTCTTCGCTCCTGTCTACTATATTTCATCATGAAGTTTTACTAAATTCTTGAATCCGGGTTTTCAGCATCTCTGTAAATGAAATCTGCGCACCATCTGCCCCGGGGTTGGGATCACATTACTAATATCATGTAATTGCCTTATCCTTTGATTACTGATGGTCTTCCCAAGTACGACTTGGCTTAAGATCTACGACTTCGATGTTAGCTAGGACGTCAGGGCTGAGCAGAGGACTGGGACTAGGAAGTTGTCCTAACTAAATAAACTTCCGCTTAAGATTCACAACTGAATTACGTTTCATGAAGTTGGACATTCCTGAACTCGCTGCAGCTTTAGATATTCCAGATGTTATCAAATGTCCTCAAGGTACAATTTGTAATGGTGTAGAAGCTTTATACTTGCTTTTGAGAAGATTGGCATATCCTTGTTTCGGAAGGCCAGTTCCGGAGTTATCACTTATACTCACTGAAGTGATGAATTTCATTTACGACCGTCATGGCCATCTTATATGTGACTGGAACGAGGCGTTGCTTAGTCCTGACAAGCTGGAAAGTTATGCAGCAGCAATTTCAGCCAGGGGAGCAGCATAAAACAACTGCTTTGGCTTTATAGATGGAACAGTAAGACCAATATAGACCCAAGAAGCACCAGAGAATTGTATATAATGGATATAAGAGATGTCATGCCCTCAAATTTCAATCTGTGGCACTCCCAAATGGAATGATAGCCAACTTATATGGACCAGTAGGTAAAATTATTTTGCAATTTTAAAAATATAATAATTTCAAAATACAAATGCAGCATTTTTAGAGCGTTTGAAGAGTGTAATATAATGGAATATGAGTTGACAAATGTGTTGCACAATTTGCTGCCGGGCCATTCCATTTAATGTCCACCCCCTCCCCTATGTATGAATTTTTCTGAAGGGTGACCCCAAAGTCATTTCTCAGGAGTTACATCTGTTGGCATCCTTTGATCTCTGTGATTTTTCTGAGGGGTAAGGGGAAAATTTACAAATTTCTGAGGGTTTTTTTTTTGTCTGCATTTTGATATTTTTTCTTAGGGGTTAAAGTTTTATTGACCTCGTCCATGGGGGGGGGGGGGGTTTTTGGGGGGATTTTT